TTCTTTAATCGAAGCAATCAACCCCTCCCATAATATCGTTATATACAGCAACAGCTTTAGGAGAAGGTACTTCTGTTTTAATACCAATCTTTTTGTCCAATTTATAGATGTAATAATCGCTGGATTATATATACAGCAACAGCTTCAGGGCAAGGTACTTCTGTTTTAATACCATCCTTTTTGTCTAATTTATAGATGTAATAATCGCTGGATTATATATACAGCAACAGCTTTAGGGCAAGGTACTTCTGTTTTAGTACCATCCTTTTTGTCCAATTTATAGATGTAATAATCGCTGGATTATGTGCGGTAGTCAACTAAGTAACAGCTTTTTTTGTCCATCCACTTTATTGCAGCAACACATTCCTTAGTTAGGAACACTGATTCACGTCTTTGTAGTTTTTCATTAGCCTTCAGCATTAGTGGAAGATCCTTCCTTTGCAGCCTCACAGTCCCCACAGAAAATGGACCACTTACAAGTAGATTTTTGCAAGCCTAAAAGATGTGAAATAGTTATCATAGGCTATAAGGCGACCTGTGTGTTTCACGTCTTCCGTTAGTTTAATTACTACTGCTTCCCCTAAGCTCAATATTTTATCCTTATTATCAGAAGTTTCTTTTCCACAATAAATTCAAAATTTTTGAATATATCCAGTCTTAGTCTGCTAAACACCACACCTTGTAACCTCTTTTTATAGGCTTCATTGGCATATACTGTTTCAATGAAGTTTGAAAGCTATCATTCATACATTCGTCTATTGATAAGGTTGACGAAGGTTCGTAGACTTTAGATATGGAATCGTTCAGCTGCGAGAGGATTGGTCTGACTTTATGGAGTTTATCAAGCCCTGTTGCCCATATGGTATTGTGCTGTTATCATTTACATGTAAAGTCTTAATTATTTTTTGAACCTCTTTGCGATCATTACTCTTGCTACTGATTGAATATTGAGAACAGGGTCTGTGCTCCACTTTTATGTTGCTCTGACTTTTATGTTGATTATTATCCAGTAAGTTTTTAGTTCAGGCAATTGATATATACCCATGAGTATATGCATACCTATCCATGTTTTCAATTTTTCTGATGTGATCTTTTTCCAGTTCCAGATAATGTCTTTTGTGGTATGACCTATCTCATCCTTTCTCAGGCTGCTTTGCATATGAGTTTGTTTCATCAACAATATTCTGTAAAATTTCCTCAGTGAAAATCATGCCAAAATAATTCTTTTACTTCTCAGCAGAACTGAATGATATTTTCATATGTGGCTCATTGTTGAAAGAAGAGAAACACTGTTGAAGAAATCTACTTTATTACTCCATTCATTCTTCATTTCATCATCGCTTTCAGAAGAATTGTCGTCGTCAGATTCAACCAGCATTGCTCATCACCAGACAAGGGTTCTTCAGTCATCAAAAAATTATTTCCAGAACTTGTGCTATGGTTATCTAAATTTTCTAGCGATTGTAATTCTGAAAATGCGTCATCATCAGCTTCTACTTCAGAATCATCTGGGTCACTAGGAAGGCTAAACAACATATCTAAAGCAGCTGATGTGGACAAATACTTCTTGCTCATCTGAAAGTTATGAGAAATTTAGAAGTGTTGAATTTACCACCCCCTCCCCCCCAAAAAAGCTGCTTCCTTAGAATACATTTTTTGGCACTACTATAATTGAAATTATTTCATTTTCGAAAATTTGGACCATCCCAAAAAAGTGCTGCAATAGCAGCTGCCTACTTTGCCTATGCATAAATCAGGGCTTGCAGCTAGTCGTATTATTTATCATTCATTAAAATAAGTTAGTACTGTTACAATAAAAGCAATCTTTTCTTTCAAAAATATTATATTTATATAACAAACATATTATTTTTGAAACTAAATATTTTAATTTGTCATTATATAGCACAACAGCATTTTCACATTTCACTGTTAGACCTATAAATTACTATTCAAATTAGATAATTACTAGCACCAAAATAGCAGAATAAGTAAATAAGACATAAGTAAATAGTTACAATAAAAACGATATTTTCTTTATATCTCTTACAAACATACTATTTTTGAAGTAAATATTCTAATTTTTGTGGCTTTTAATATGATGCAATAGTATTTTCACTTTTCACCCATTATTAATTATTCAGTATTAGATAGTTACTGCAGAAATATACAAAATAAGAAAATATTATTATAATAAAAACAGTATTTTACTTACATTTGTAGTAGAATTGTATAGCAAAGCAATGCAAATGTCAAATCAAAACAGGTATCTCAGTGGAACAGATCTCACACAATGCGTTCAAACTTAAAAAAAAAAAAAAAAAAAAAAAAAAAAAAAAATGTGCTAAATTCTGTATTCCCGATGTTATAATAGCAAAGCCAATATATCATAGTCGGTTTTGCGCTTCCGACAGTTGTATTTTCCAGGATTATGCAGGTGGGAAGTAATCTTTCCAAGGCCCACAAAAGGGTACTATGAAAATTTCTCATGTATATAATATGTAGTTTTCGTTCTCAAAACAGAAAAACCTATTTTTCATCCTCACAGATTAAACCTCTCTCCACGGCTTCACTCAAAAACAATCTAACAGAAGCTAATACAAAGGAAATCTGCCATCTTAAGGACACACCCAAAAGAAAAGCACTGAAAAAGAATACAATGAAATAATAAGAAATTTAGAGAAAAAAAAAAAAAAAAAAATATGGGAAGTTTAAAGAAAAAAAATCCCCAAAGAAAATGGAGATAAAATGTGTGAAGAACAGGATTTTGAACTTAGATACAAATTCTGAAACAGAAAAGTGGTTCTGCTTAACTTACGGAGATGCCTATAGCAACTCTGATGAAGATGAATGGCTGCAGTGAGAACACATTAAATGTGAGAGAGGAAATAATCTATCTTTTATTTGCATTTAACTGCAATTCTCATGCAGTTATGATGATTGGTTAAAAACTTTTATTTTCTTTTACTATAAACTATTTGATATTATTCATAGTTACTACACCAAGTAATAATAACCACAAAATATTTTTTAAATATTGTTTTTACTATTACTATTTGCCCCCAGATTTGTAACAATTTGACCCAAGTCAGGAGCAAACTGTTAAAGATGAACTTTTTTCATAAAATACTTATTGTGATAAAATCAACAAAATTGGCAAATGTTTGTTTTGTGCATATGATGAATTATAGCTCAACATCTTGGGTCTATGTGGAAAGTCCAAAATCTGCGATATTATCGACTAATTTATTGCTTGTTTTGTTAAAATGAAAATTTTTAAATTAAAAAACTGGCATTACTTATGTTTCAACCAATAATTATGAAAAATATGTGTACATATAATACAATGAATAATATAAGCAATTTATATATGTAATAATAATTTAATGCATGTAATTATTGCAATAATGTATATAATAATTTAATTAAATGTATCTAATATGCCTTATTCATTTTGAACTTTTAGTCCGAATATTATGCTTTACCTTTTCTGTCCTGAAATCCACAAAATCCTAAAATCCGCACAACCTCTGGTCCCAAGCTTTGCAGATTTCTGGAATTTTATTGTATTTTTCCCCCTGACCAAAATCAATGTCACATGCCTAGGAGTCATGAAATCAATGAGGTTATCGATGAAGAACTGAAGTATTATCTCCCACTGCTGTAGAAGAGAATTTTGCAAACTACTAGAATGTTTCTGGGGGTGATAAGTAACTAGCAACTCTTCTCCATAGAATGGCCCAAACATGTTCTATTCAGTTCCTATCGGGAAACATGCTGGACAATCTATCTAAAGGATTCCTGCGTCCCCCCCCCAAAAAAATTGTTCACTAGCTGAGTACCAGTCACCTGGTGTTAGCATCCATGAGAAGGAATCCAGTTGCTGCAGCATAAAAGACCACAAAAGGTCTAAAGATCTCATCCCTGTATCCCTGTTAGTGCTCCATTCCCGATAATGTGCGAGTCGGTGCGGCCATTGATAGAAATACTATCCCAGACCATCACTCTGTCCACGTCAAATCAGAAAATTTCATGCACAAATGCAGGGTATTCCATGTACCAAGTTCTGAATGGTTGAGATGGTTCTAGATGAGAATTTGCCTATTGTCAGGTTGCACATAAAAGCAGGTTGTTTGTAACAAGCACTTGCTCACTCATCTTGTTCCCATCCGAGATGCTCCTGTGTCCACCTTCTGGGGGCAGCACAGTTGTTCTATGTCAATAAAACACAAACCGTAGGTTTGCGAACATACAAACTTACATGGTGGAGTCAGTTTCGAACAGTGCGAGTCGAAACTCTGGTACCAGTAGCCGTCTCAAAGTGCTGTTGCAAGAAAGTGACATTCATAATGCAGTTTCTTCAGTAATACCAATCCTCATTTTGTGCTGTTGAAGACGTATGACCTTATCCCAATCTTTGGTCAAGATTTCCACTTTCCAAAAACTAATCCCAGATTCTGGAAATGACACTCCAAGAAATTCCTAACACTTCCACTACAACAGATTGTGTTTGACCTGCCTCTAAACAACCAATGGCCCTCCAGGCTATTGATTTAGCTAAGTCATCTTGCTGAGACATTGTATTAACTGCTACAAAACATTCAATGCATGCTAATTGTTTTTAATCTCCTCCTCCAGAAGGAAAGCTGTAAGTCACTTCTTATTTAAAACACATAGTTTTCAATGTCACACACAAAATTTGTATATTCTGAACTTTGAAAATCTTATGATTTCCCCTATTTAACCTCTTCTAGCTCTTCATTAAAAATATCTCCTAATCGTTTTGAACCATGTAATTATATCATAAAATGTTAGCAAATGAATTTTCTATCTAAAACATGCCACGTTTTAGCAATATGTTTCAATTAGGTTTATTAATTTAACTACAAATAATATATGTATATATTTATCTTTGAAGTACAAATATCCTTGACGCATTCTGTAAAACCAGGAAAATTCTATGATATTTTAAAGATGTTACAAAGTATAAAAATGTAACTTACAGTGCTTCTTCATCATCAACCTTAACAACAACTTTCCTCTGTCCACTTTTTAACCATTTCCTTAGGGTTTCAGGACTAGTTTTTGAACAGCTTCTATATGCCATAACAGATGCATGAGAACACTAAAAATAGACAAGAACAAAAGTGAATATATATAACATTACATACATAATAGGAAAATTTTGTAAATTAAAAATTTTAAAACATTTTGAAATTCCTTATGTTCAATATAAATTTTTAGACAATAATGTGAACTTTTTAGATAGATTTATTTTATCAATTTTTTAAACAATTATTGAAAACATTGGTGGAAAATTTACACTCATAATGCTCTAAATAAAACTTCTGATAAAAATAGAGGGCATAAATAATAATCGAAATTGACAAAAGCTTTCTTACAAAGCAGGGGGGGGGAAATAAAAAATTGAAGTTACTGTTTATTAAATAAAGAGGCGTCAATTTCCTCCAAATTCTGCAGGAATGATCAGCACAGCTTTCAGTGGATCTCCTCCAATTTTATGGATGATACCCAAGTACCATTTCTGTCCAAAAGTTTTGAATCATCCTATATATTAGATGAGATATAGCTCAACATCAATGGTTCTCAAAATGTGAGTAATAATAATATACCAGAAGGTCATGACATAATTTTTGGTGTCTCACAAAATGTTTTCTATTATTGTATAATTACAATCTCCCAATAGTTTTACCATAAATATATAATTGTGAAATTATATATGTTTTCATAGCTAATATGTCCCAACTGCTAATATTATCAGGTTCAATGTTCCGTCTAACCTTCTTCGGGAACATGCAAGGACCTGACTCGGAACAGAGAGCTTACTAAAGCTATGTTCAACAATTGTGGGAAGTCGACAGGATACACAAGAAGGGTATACAAAACCCTTTATTTTTCTCTATTTACAATAATTTCCGTACTTCGGAATACAGAGACCCCTACTTGTGGTCAAACGTAAGAATATAAAAATAAAACTAAACTCTAATTTAACTTTAAAATAATAAACGTGGAAGATTGGCCTTATATTAACAGGAAGCCGTATGTAGTACAGAGAACTGTTGAACACTACAATACGTTTAAAATTATCAAGAGGATTAAAACCTCTGGCCTGGAAGGCAACCAGCAACTGAGTAAAACTTCTAAGGTAAGCGGCCTGCTTCTGCTTCGACTAACTCCTTCCTCTCTCTCGCTTGGCAAAAAGCCACAACTTAAGTACTTGGCGTTCGCCAGACAAATTTGCATAAATAAGTTAACGCTTATAATTCTGGCCGGAAGTAGAAAATAAGAAGTGATAGTAAAGATTTAAAATAAAATAAACGTTAGTAAAACTTAAGATCCTTACATACTTCCCGCCAGAGTTAATTAGTTTGAAACTGAGGTCTAAAACGACCTTGTTGAAAACTTTTAGCTCTAGAATCTAACGCGAGAGGCCAATCTTTTACAAACATTTTTCACTAGAAACTAGAAATTTAAAAAAAAGAAATTTGTTTTTACAATAGCAGCTCCCATGGACACAATTTTTTCATCTGTACTGCATCTAAACAGGAGCTTTTATTCAAATCTGGTTCCTTCCAGATCTGGAGGAAAAACTAGTTTAATGAAATGTTACACAATGAAATGGCAAGTAACATGTATAATTATATTTCTCTTAACATTCTTATTTCATTCATGACTATTTTAATTATCTCTCCCCGTGCTCTCTGACATGTGTTGTAAAAAAAAACACCAAACACGAATGTGTTTATGTCTACGTGTTCAACACTTCCTCCTACAATCAAAACACTAACGTGTTAAAATTCAACATAACCAAGACCTCGTAACACACCCTAATTTCAACTCTAAACCCTGAGGTACTATTCTGAAAGTGGCTAACTCTGAAGTGTAGCGTCAGAGAGCCTAACTACATTCATTCAACCTTTAACACATATTCACCATGATTTAGTCTTTTTACAGTCACACGAATAAAAAATTTTTAACATTACTTTCACTTTTACCATATCACGGTATTTCTTAACATTTAAAATAACAGTTCACATTGTATATAAGAACATATTAACATGCCGTTAATTTTACGCATTTGAAAACATACATTAGTAGTACATTGTTAACTTCTATTCTTTTCAAAGCAAGTGCCAATTCTTTCTACATTGAAATACTACATTTCAAAAAGTCTTTCAGACTAAAACTTCTTTCTTGCCAGAATGTTTTAAATAAAATTTATACAATAACTTTTTTACAATATTTAAGTCTTTACACAACGCTATTATACATCAACTTTAGTTTTACGCGCGAGTAATTGAAAAACATAATACCAAAATCGGTAACAACTCATTTCTCGCCCTTTTTGGCGATAAAGGTAGACCTCGCATGAGGTAAAACTTCTTGAAATCTGCCACTTGCAGTAAGAATGAAAGATTAACTTAAGTTTGCAAAGTAACATAAAATTTTTACTTATCTTTGTGATATTCGGACATCTTTTCTGGGCCCAGTCCTTGGAAAGGTAGTGCAGATTCTGTTTGATTTATCCTCCTTCTTGTACGGGCTCGCCCTTCAGTGCCTTCCTCTAGAAGCTTTCTTTTTTCTCCAGTTCGGTCACCCTTGAATACCTTCTTTTTCGCCTCTGCCTGTGGTCTTGGCCGTTTGATGGCAGCTGGTCTTGGCGGAACCGGGAAAACTTCTTTCGTGTGTTCCTGCTTGGACCTCGTTGCTGGCCGTTCAAATTTTCCTTGTAACTTTTCCTCCGCCGCTGGATGGCCCTTCCGCAGTTCGGCGACATTTGCTGCGGAGAGTCCTGTCGGATGAGTAGATCTTCCGTTTTAGAGCCGGGTTATAGTTGCCGTCATTTCTCCTGGCTCTCTTTGCATACGTCGTCCTTCTCCCTTCTTCATTCTGGGGGTGTTCGTGAGCTCTCTTTTCTGGACGGTGGAACGGCTTCTTTTTCTTGTTACCTTCAATTTTCCGCGGGGAAACTTTCTTTTCACTTGCTCCTGCCTCTTAATGGCTTGCCCTTGTACTTGTCGTTTTCCACCTCTGGAGCTTGTGCCCTGCGGTGTCTGCCGTGCCGGATCCTGCAAAAGATCTGAAAATATTTGCATTTTATTACGATCATAGTAGGGTTTGATTTGATCAATGTTTGCGGAGCAGGTTTCACCATTTCTGGCTTTTAACACTACTACAGCGTGAGTTATTTTTTCTATGACATATGGTCCTTCAAATCGTGGAAAAAATTTGGCAGTTTTTATCTTCTGGTGCTGAAGAAAGTGAATGCTTAATTTTTAAAACTTCATCCCCTACTTTATAAGTTACTCCCCGTCGTTTCAAGTCATAATAGAGTTTCTGTTTTCTCTGTGCTACTTCAGTATTCTTTTTGCTTCTTCTTTAATTAGTTTTTCTATATCACCCATTTTAAATTCTGGGGCTCTTTGTTGCACATAAAATAATTTATCTAACGGCGTTATAATCTTTCTGCCTAAAAATAACTCAGCAGGAGTTTTGCCCGTTGTATCATGTTTTGCGGTCCTAAGGGCGAAAGCAAATTCATTGACATAGTTATCCCAGCTTTTATGAAAATTTTTAACATAACTACGGATAATTTTCACTATATTTCTATTGACCCGTTCCGCTATATTTGATTGCGGCCGATACGGGACCATTTTTAAATGACGTATGCCCAGTTTTTGGCACATGTCTTCAAATATATTACTTACAAATTGAGGACCATTATCCGATATAACTTTTAGGGGCGCCCCGTATTTTAAAATATATTTATTTAAAATAGAATCAGTAACTAATTTCGCGGAGGCTCGTTTTAAGGGAACAATTTCGGTCCATTTACTAAAATGATCAACCATAACAAGGAGATAGCGACTTTTATTTAACTGACTTTTTGGGAAAGGGCCCAATAAATCGATGCCAATTATTTCATTTGGAAATTCGGATTTAATACTATTTAGAAACCCGGCCGGGCGGAAATTAATATAATTAACTGCTTGACATGTTGGGCAGGACTGGACATACGCCCTTGTTAACTTTTGCAGTTCAGGAAAATAGACTGCCTCGCGTACGCGTTGGATAGTTTTTCGAATACCAGCATGAGAAGCTAAAGGGCTGTCATGGAGCTCCTGCAGGATATTTAATCTAAGACTAGCTGGGATAACAGGTCGAAATTCGTTGTTGGAATTCGTAGTTTTTGTATAAATAATAGACCATCTATTAGTTCGTAATGGGCCGCCCTATTTCTTATCGCCACAATATCTTGGTGGCTAAAATTTTCAGGATCCTTTAAATACTCATAAATGCTTCCAAACTCAGGATCCTTACCCAGTTCGGTTATTACAGTTTCTCGGGAATTTATTGTACATGCTGTGAGCATTGCCACCTTTACAGTATTACCTTCTTCATCTATTTTAATTCTGGATAGGGCATCTGCTACGATATTTTCCTTTCCGGGGGTATGCTTGATTACCAGATTATATTCTTGTAGCTTGAGTGCCCATCTTATTAACCTTGGGGATAAGTTTTTCCCTGAGTACAATCTAGTTACCGCCGCATGATCAGAGTACACTGTTATTGGCGCCTTTCCAAAATAGACTCGGAACTTTTGCACTGCTAACAGAACTGCAAGTGCCTCTCTCTCGGTCGCGGAATAGTTTCTTTGTGTTTGATTTAAAGTTCGGCTAAAAAAATGCCACGGGCTGCTGCTGATTTTGCGAAAGTACCGCTCCTACCGCATAATCCGAAGCATCCGCTGAAATTTCTAAATTCTCATCCTTTTCAGGAAATTTCAACACAGGGGCTTGCGTTAATGCTTGTTTTAATTTTTCGAAAGCACTATTGGCTTCGGCCGTCCACGAGAATCTTGCCTTTTTCCTTTTTAATTTTAACAATGGTTCAGCAATAGCTGCAAAATCTTTTATAAAGGACCTATAATATGAACAAAGTCCTAGAAAAGAAGAGAGCTTCTTCGCCGTGTTTGGAGTCGGATACTTTTGTACAGCGATTATTTTTGATTCGTCTGTCTCGATTCCTTTCTGAGATATTTTGTAACCTAAATATTTTAATTCAGGGGCTGCAAATTTGCACTTTTCGACATTAACTTTTAGA